GGTATAGTGCCTTGTCATCAATTGACCTTTGATCCTTTCTAACATGGATAACACAGGAAGCTCCCTTGCCTCTAGTATATATCTAAGAACATGAGTAAGAACATGAGTAAGAAGTTCTCATACTTGTTGAAGACCTCACAAATGTTATTAAATAGGATATCACACTTTGGTAAATCACTTTGAAAAGCTCTGACCCATGTTTGTGGCTCCAGTTCATGCAACCAAGTGTATGCATCCATACTCAACTCCTTCATCTCATTAATATATTGCTCATATTTAGTTGATGTGGCGCTTCTAGCAATCTTCCACAACTGATTCTTTAGTGCATCACCTTTGTGTAGCTGCTGAAAGTTCTGCCACATGTGCCTCGCACAGAATCTATGTTCTGATTCTGGAAACACCTCATCCACAGCATTGATTAGTCCCTTCTGTTTGTCACTCATAATTGACCATGGGGCAATGTTGATGATTGCCAGATCATATTTCAATCTCTCCAAGAACCAACACCAGTTGGGTTTGTCCTCCACTTCAACAATAGCTATTGCAATTGGAAAAATACAATTGTTTGGATCTATTCCTACAGCACATAGCAACTGCCCTCTATACCTTGTCTTAATGTGGCATCCATCTAGAAATATGATAGGCCTACACCCCTGAAGGAACCCTCTCTTGCAAGCATCCAGACACATATACGCCTTATTGAACCTTGCTTGTTCATCAAGTGCCACAAAGAAAGAGCTGCCTGGGTTACTCCTTCTGATCTCATTGCCATAGTTCCACAACAATTTGTATTGCCCTTTCTCATCACCATGTATGATCTTCATAGCCAGCCTCCTAGCCCTCTGCAATTTGGTCCTTGTTGGGGTCATGTGCCACTCCTTCTGCACAACCCTGGAGAAGTTTCTCATGTTCATATCCTGGTCAGCTCTGAAGCTCTCCAAATACTTTTGGGCAATGAATGGAGCAGTGAAAGCCTTGATCTTCCACTTCTTTGTGCAGGTGTGTTCACTGACATACTTCTTGACCATAAAGCACATGGTTCTACTATCATAAGAGGCCCACATATACCAAGTACAGTCATCATCACATTTGGCCTTCAATCTTTTTCTATCATTCACAGGCAACTAACATCCACTCTATTCTTGCAGCAATAGTCTTTTATGGCTGTCCTCAGTAGCTCAACTGTTTGGAAAACTTGGCCAACATGAAATTTAGGACAGTGTAGGTCCTCTTCCCTAAATGACTTGAACTTCATGTACAACTCTTCATCATCTTCATCTGGTGGCCATAGATCATCACCTTCAGACTCATATAGTTCATCCTCTTGCTTCTCTTTGCCTTTGTCTCCAACTTTATCTTTTCCTTTATCTGAATCCTTTTCTTTTGCACTATCTTTAACTGACTGTTTCCCTCTCACTTGTTTGTCTTCAGGTTCATCCATGTCTACATTGTCTGCATATAGATCATCATCACCATCATTCATGTCATAATCACTATCTACTATGGCACCAGGATCAAAATCTGAATCATCTGAATCATTGTCATCATCTGTATCTTCTTCTTCTTCTGCCATTGCATAAGAATTGCACCGCCTTCTTGTTCTCCTGGTCACAACTTCCTCCTCTTTCTCTTCTGCCTGCTGTTGTGGTTGTTCTGCCTCATGTTGTGGTTGTTCTGCCTCATGTTGTGGTTGTTCCATCTCAGGTTTTGCTTCTCCTGCCTCTTCTTGAATGACAACAGTCTCTGCATCTTCCATATTTGCATCTTCATCATTGACAACAGAGCAGTTCCTCTTTGCAAACACATAGTTGCTAGCATCATCTGCTGAACTGTCTGGGTAGACCACCTGTATAGGAATAGGTTGTGCTCCTTCTGATCTATCTGGCTCATTGTTACATGCTCTTCTAGGACTGAATACTGGAGGCAGGTGAGTTATTGGGAAATTCACCACATCATCCTCAGTACGGTTGGAATCCAAGCTGTTGTCATGGTCCAAATATAGACTGAAAGAGTTATGACCAAGAGACAAAAATGTCAGCATTTGATCAATGTCTGCATCTCCTTTGATCTCTCTCAATCTATTTTGCGTGATTGACAGTATAGGAATCAGGTAGTACACTTTCAATCTGCCTGCCATTTCCCACCCAATCTCTTCCACTATGTTCTCAACCACAAGTAGAGACCATGTCACTTCATCAAGTTCATCATACCAGACAACATGAGCATTCACATAAGAACGGTTGCTACCACGGCCAAGGAAATATCCTCCATGGTTGATCTGAACTGAATTTTTTTTGCTCCGTGTGCCTTGTAAAAATAAAACATTTACACAAGGATCAGAAACATCGACAAGGCACCACCTTTACACCCTTAAACCCCCAAATCAGAGCACTAAACCCTAGCGGAATCAGAAGTCCAGTGCGGCCGGTCCTATGCAACTAACCCAAAATTGATGATGTCCAAGCCCTACTCTGATCCAAATAGGTACAAATTCGTCACAATCAAGAACAAACATAAAACCCTACTCTGAACCCCCAAATCCCGCGCAAAACCCTAGCCTACGAAAATATGGACTCCAATGCGAGGAACCCTAGAACCAACTGAAGATTTCTTATGCCCAGACGAGATATTGGAGATTAACAACCCAAAAATCCAAAAAGAAAGGGGAAATTTTGGGACTTACTGTACTTCGGGGCGGCGCGCCGTCAGGGCGACGAACTGGTGCCATCGCCGCCACGCCTATGCACACCCCCGACGAACAGGGGTTGACGAACCGCGCGTCTCCACCCTCGCCGGCGCGTCCGACGCTGATGAGCCGGTGCGCTGCGATGATCGCCTCCCTCTCTTCTGCGCCGCTTCCTCTGCTTCGGTGGTAACGAAGACGAACAGGCAAGGGGATTTGATCCATTTCCAATGACACGGGGGGTTTTGTGCAAAATGGTCGCGCGGACGGCCGCTCCCTGCCACCTGGCACGGTCCATTGGTCAAAAGGGGCGGTGTACGAGCTCAATACGTGCTACAGTGACCGTATAATCACGTCTTGTCGTATATAGTGACCGTATTGCATGTATCCCTAAGTACGGTGACTGAAGTGAGTAGATGGAGCAAAAACAGTGACTTTCGATGCATTTTACTCTAAACAGAATGCTTCGTGATTTTTTCCTCCGATTTTGGGGGCCCTGTGCGATCGCACACCTCGCACAGCCCCCTCGACGGGCCTGGCACTAGCATATACTAGTACCTTATTGTTGGTGAGGCGTCCAAAAGCACCAATGAGCTCTTTTCTCCATTATTAAGAGTTCGGGCAGTTTCCATGAAATGAACCTGTCATTACCACGTACTCTGAAAGCGATAAGCTGGTAGAGAAAGGCAAGACGTACGCGCTTATCTGACAGATAGAGACATATGAACACGGTGTGGCTTGTGAAATTGATATGCACGGCCGATATTGAAAAGATATGAAGGAAAGTGACCGTAAGGCACTGAAAATACTTTGCTTCTTCAGTCATATCAAGGACTGGTATGGTAACCTACTAATCTCCCAAAAGACAGTTTGTTCAAGTACTCCCTTCATTCCCTTATACAAGGTCACTTCATTTTTCGTGTCAAACTTTAACTTATAATTTTGGTCAACAAAATATGGATTATATGTCATAAAAAATATATTATTGGAAAGTTCTTTGAAATATGCGTTCAATAAAATAACTTTTGTGGCATATAACTCGCTTTTTGTTGGTAAAATTACTGGTCAAATTTAGACATAAGAATATGAAGTGGCCTTGTATAAGGGAATGGAGGGACTAATAATTAATTTTTGAGTGTGGTTTTTCTACACCCCAGCTCGGTGCACCCACGGTGCACCCACACAAGAAAACATAGCATAACACTTCAAAAAATTATGAAACTTTGTGGGAATGTTAATCAACAAATGTTACGAGCGCTTGCAAAGTTTGGTGGTCAAATAACATTCAAGGAGCTCTATACAAAAAGACAAAATTATAAAATCTGCTCAAACAGTGCACTCACATTTTGACTAATTTTCAGTGATTTTGTCTTTTTTGTATTGAGCTCCTCGAATGTTATTTGACCATCAAACTTTCAAGCGCCCATAACATTTATTGGTAAACATTCTCACAAAATTCAGAATTTTTTGAATTGTTTTGCTATATTTTCTTGCGTGGGTGGACCGTGTGTGCACTGAAGATGGGTGCAGCCACTACTTTCCCTCAATTTCTTGGACGATGAACACCGATAACTCAGCGATGAACAAGTCTAGACCTTCACCGCGGACAAGAAATCGGAATCATCTTGACAAGCAAGATTTGCACAAGGCAACGAATTAACTCTGATATACTAAGTTACAGAAGAATACTTCTACTCAAGTCTCGAATCTTCTTCAGAAGATGTCCCTCAGGTCTAGATCAAGTCTTGTTCTTTTTCCAAGGAAATACCGGCTTGTTGCTTTCCCGGAAATTTCAGTGTAAGCACCATGCATATAGCATATTCAACTTGGGAAAAAGGAGTCAAAAACTGCACATTCGGTTCTAACCTGATATGAACATTTATTTAGACATCATGTCCTGTATGTTTCCCAACATAGACACAACGAAATTGCCAACCACAGTTTGTGAACTAAACTAACTAGTACCACATCATGGTGGCACCGAATTTTGCGTGTGGGAGGGGAGAGACTTTTCCAGGAAACATCCAGTGGAGTAAAAGAAGATTGAAAGAAGCAACAAAGACCACGATCATGCATGCACACTTTGAATCTTAGACAACACGTCATCATCTTGCTGTCTTGTCTACTATTCTCCCATAAGTTTTTTCAAAGTGGAAACATCCTCTCATCTGCCTAGATCTTTCATATTGATTCTGTTGAAGCTACAAGCCTAGAAAAACAAACAAGAAACAACAACTTCCCTTCCTATATAAACCTTCATTGATACATGATCTTTCCCACACCAAAACAACCAGATCTCAGGCTCATAGCTCAGACAATGGAGAAGTCCCCAGCCACAGCAGGATGCCATCATGCACCACTTTTCCAAGACCCGCTTGGTATTCTCATCCTTTTCATCCTCACCTGGTGCATCTCAAAGCTTCAAAGTCTCCTTCCCACTTCTTGTTGCCAATCCTGCACTTGTACTGTCTCCACGACAACCTCGACACCGGTCCTCGCCGAGACGAAGACATCGAAGGCGCCAAAAAAGAGTGAATACGATGAGATGAATGCGACGCAATCAGATGCGGAGGTAGCCATGAGAAAGATGGGATTGGATTTTGATCAAGAGAAAAGCTGTGAATATATTTCTACGTTGTTCAACGACGACGAACCAAGCTTCCAGGAAGTGAAGATGGCCTTCTTGGTTTTTGATGAGAACAATGATGGGTACATCGATGCATCGGATCTGCGACGAATCCTCGACAACTTGGGATTAGGTGACCAGGTAGGGGTCAATGAGTCTGAGCAGATGATTGCTAGATATGACATGAACAATGACTGGAGGATAGATCTGATGGAGTTCACTAAGGTTTTGGAGGATAGCTTTTGCTAAACATATTTATTTCTGTATTTGTTTTCCTATATCTGTGAGATGCATTTACATGTTGTGATTGACTGAATTCCGCCACTTGATTCCAGAACTAAATAACTGGTCTTTTCTTTTTGAAAAAGGGGTTTGGCGTCTAGCATTGCCACTAGCCATCTTCTTTTTTTATTGCGAGAGAAATTTTCAATCTATTTATCAATCATGGCAGTACTGAGAACACTTGAGCTAGGTGATAAAAATTACAACCAAGTTCATGGACCACCTAGCGACGACTACAATCACTGAAGCGAGCCGAAGGCGCGCCGCCGTCATCGCCCCTCCCTCATCAGAGTCGGACAAACCTTGTTATAGTAAATAGTAGGGAAGTCGTCGTGTTAAGGCCCCAATGAAACAGCACACCAGAGCAGCAACCATCATCGATGAAGAGAATTGTAGATCGGAAAGATCAAACCTGTAACCAAATGAACGAAGACGAACAAAAACTGGATCCAAATAGATCCATCGAAGATAAGCACCGACCGAATCCCGCAAGATCTGACGGAGCCACACCTCCACATATCCTCTGACGATGCTATTCGCCACTAGCTATCTTACATGCATGAATGTGGATTGCGATGAATCCCAGCCCATCATCACCAAGGATCATGCAAGATCCCCAAAATAACACAGACCAGTTTGAGAACTGGATGTACCCAACCAGTATTCAGGTACAAACATTGTTTGTACTCCCTCCGTTCCAAAATATAAGTCTGTTTAGAGATTTTAGTATGAATTACATACGGAGCAAAATGGGTGAATCTACATTCTAAATTACGTCTGTATACATCTGTATGTAGTTCATATTGAAATCTTTAGATGACGGCTGAGGGCAACAGCAATAGCGTAGCTAGAAGCTAGTCCAAGCTAGGAAGAAGATCATGAACAGCAGGTGGCCAGAAGAACGTGCTGGCGTGGCAGCTAGCGACGTGCGCGCATCAGGTTGGCCGGGACGACACAGTTTTAGCTGGTTTTTTCTTTCCAGGGGAACGGAGGAGTGCCCGGGTCAGACAGAGAATATCAGGCCTACTTACCAAACTTCATTTCCCGCGCCACGGTCCAGAATGTCCACCACACGGAGACGTCGGGAGATTTTGAATTCAAGTAGGCGCTCGCTTACCAGTCCCCGCCGTATCGCACTGCCCCGTACCGTATGTATATAGCTGCATTAGAGCATCTACTACCACCGGACCCCTAAAACCCGCCTCGTACGCCCGAGCGAGCCGATCGGTCACGATTTCTTGATCCAGATGGGCCTTTTAAACGGCCCTCAAACGTCTAGGCTGACCGGCACCCCTCATATTCAGTCCAAATATGGCGCAGGGGGTGTCAGGGAACACCCGCCATGTCAGACTGACGAAGGGGTCTCAGCCGAAAACGCCCGGAAATCCGGCGGTCCGACGGACACCGCATCCATTACCCACGGTGTGAACGCAGCGTGACGCCACTCCAGCTCGCCGCCCAAGACGAAATCCGGCTATTTAAGCCGGCCGGCGTCCCGTAACCCTAACCCAACCCCCTCTTTGCGCCGCCTGTCCGAGCCCATCCACCTCCCCCCTCTCCCGCTCCGGCGCCCAGTCCACGCTCCGGCACTCCACCATGGTCTGGAGCAAGATCACCTGCTATGCCATGCTGACACCGGAGCGCCGCTACGCGATCCAATAGCAGATCTGGGCGAGGGAAGCCGCATGCGCCGCCCGTATCGCTGCCAGGCTGCCTCAAGACTCGCGGGAGTCGGAGGAGGAGGAGGAGCAGCCAGGGGAAGAGGAGGAGGAGATGGCTCTGATGAAGATGGAGGAGGCGAAGGAGCCGGATTAGTAGGTGCCGGCCTTCAACATGAAGTAGGCGGAGGTGGAGTTCGCCGTCACCCAGTCCGATGAGATGGCCGAGCAGCAGGCCATGTTGGACTCCATCCAGGATGAGGCCTATATGGAGGCCAACCAGGCGTTCCTCCGGTGGGAGCAGGCGGAGACCGACGCGCTCTTCGCCGAGCTCGACATGGAGATAGAGGCGGAGGAGGCCGGAGCGAAGCAGCCAGAGGATTCGGAGCTGCAGCTGCCGCCCATGCTGTCGGAGCCAGACACGGAGATCGTGGTGATCTCCGACAAGGAGTAGCTATGATCAACGTAGTATGTAGGTTCTATTTCCTTTTGCATGTCTTTGTATGGATATATAAATCGAGTATGAGATGTCCGGATGCAACAAATGAAATTTGAGGTGCGTCCGATCACTACTCGCGGATGCTCGTCCGGGGACGTTTGAGGGGCCGGATTTTCCATATGTGGGTGTAGATGCTCTTACGCCCATGGTCCACACCCAACCAATAAACGTGAATTTCGTGTATCCAAAAACCGCGACGAACGCACAGAATTCTGGGTCCATACGTACTCGGGCGTATTAACTCTCTTCTCACTTTTGGCCCAACTCCTCGTGACGTCCCCGCGGGCGGCCCGGGGTAGCCCACATCTGCCGCCCCACGCCCCTCCGCCCCTCCTCACCGCCGCTGGCGCAGGTCGCCGGGCAAAGCCCGCTCGGCCTGGGCGGCGGCTGGGCCTTCTTCTCCTCCTGCCCGAGGATGGTGACGCGGGACGATTTCTTCTAGTGGCAGCACGACGCGAGCGTGGGGCGCAGCGGCGTGACGACATAGGCTGGCGGCGGTGGCTGCTGAGCATACATGGCGTCATCCAGTCCTCGGTCGGCGGTAGGATCTGGTGTAGGGCTCTCTGGTGCCACATCTGGGGCTTGTCTCGGGCGGCCCTGTTGCTCGTGCGGTGCGGCTGCTGGCTGGTTAGGCGGCGGTGTCCTGGATCCTACTTCCAGTCCCTAGTAGAGATGGCGGTGATCGGTACACAAGACTTGATGGAGGTTCTTCGTACAGATCTGGGTGAAAACCTTGCGCTCAGCCAGATGCCAAGGCCGGCGATGGCGGAGCTCTTCCGTGTCGTTCTCTTCTTGAAGACATCACCATGGAGAAGTTCTAGACCTTTATCTATTACCTCCGGGGAAAACACTAGATTGGTAGATCGGATGACGGCGACGCTCTTGCATCATTTCCCCCTTGGGGGCGTCAGCCTTGGAGGTATGCACGAGCTCGAGGGACCAGCGGACAACATCTTTGGTGGAGTGGTGTTTCATCTTATGCATCAACGACTGTGGATCTTGGCAGCATGACGCAGTGGAGTCTCGACATTCGTTGTGTGTAGACGGACTCGTGGAGGAGGATTGCCCTATCTGGCGTCGTGGTGGCGTTGATGACAGACCTGGCAACACTACTAGGGAAAACCTCATACACAAAAGCTTATCAGTAGCGCGTATGAAAAGGGCGCGCTACTGCTAATTAGCAGTAGCGCCTGTCCAGCAAGGGCGCTACTGCTACCAACTTAGTAGTAGCGCATCCAGCATAGAACGTGCTATTACTATAATTGTCACACCGTTGCCCACAGGCTAGGTATAGTAGTAGCGCCTTTCCGCTAACCGCTCTACTATTAAGGAGCTAGTAGTAGCGCATTTCTTTGGTGCGGCACTACTGCTAAATTTTAGCTTGTCCACCGGGTAGGCCCCACTTAGCAGTATCGCCTGTCTGAGGAGCCTACTATAGGAGTAGCGCGTTTTCCATACACGCACTACTGTTAGGCCTTATCCTCGTCCATCGCTCTCCCTGTCCCTCACTCTTCCTCCCCCACTCTCTCTCACGAACCACCATCGCCCATTGCCGCCTCCATCGTCGCCGCATTGCCGCTGCCGGTAAGCCTCCCTATCCTCCTCCTCCCTCCTCCCTCCTTCTCCCTCCTCCATCCGCTGCCCCTCCTCCCTCCTTCTTCCTCCTTCTCCCTCCTCCCTCCTTCTCCCTCCTCCCTCCTACCACCTCCAGCCGCCACTCCTCCTCCCTTCATCTCCCTCCTCCATCTACCGACCCTCCTCCCTCCTTCCTCGTACCACCTCCAGTCGCCACTCCTCCCTCCTCCTCTGCCCGTCACTCCTCCTCCCTCCTTCCTCCTGCTCCTCCCACATAGCCGTATTTTATTAAATTTTGTAATTGAAGAAAACAAAATGCTTGAGGACATAAGTGATTAAAGACTGGAAAATTGATGGTTGAAAGTTTAAATATTGTTCCTCCCCAATTTTGTAGAAGTACACATATTTATGAAATCACTTTGGTCAACTATGATGGTTTATAAGTTTACATAACAACTTGTGTTTGGTGACACCACATCAAATTAAATCACTTTGGTCAATTTCAGTTTCCATGCTCTCAACAACATCTTATAGGAACACCACATCAACTTAAAGCATAGGTGCATATGCACTTGATAGCCGCCAACAAGATTATCAGCTAGAACAACAGAATATATTTTTATTCACTAATAACATGAACAAATATCATGTTATTTATTAATACTACTCAGATACATGTTGATAGAATATATTTTGTTTATGCAGAAATCAAGTATTTGCCCATGCCTCATCCCTGCAGTCATCCCCATCGCCGACCCCTGAAGACCTCTAGGTGAGAATAGCCAAATCCCCATGTTGTTGATATAGATGATAATGTGTTGTAAATGTCGATGATGAAAACGCTAGTGCTAGTCGCCATGTCATTGATGTCGATGATGATGCATTATGAATATAGAGGGTGTCTTGGTGTTCTTGTTTGCAATGTACCTCCGAGTGGCCTATGTTTTGCCGGAATATTGATTCGTTTCCGTTCCGGCAAATTTCAGGCGCTCGATATGTCATGTGTTTAGAAAAGGTCATGCCAAATATTTTCATGAATTTTAGCACAACTTGTGCTACAATGTAGGACATATCGAGTGCTTGTGATTTGCTAGAACGAGAATTCAATGATATTTCAGCAAAACATAGGGAATGTTTTCTATGTCATTGCTCGATATATGGAACGGGTTGACTTTAGGTCTGTTTTGCCTCCTTGTGTGTCTTTCGGTGAGGGAGAGTGTCCACCATATATATTG